GAGATAGGGAAAGAGAGAGATAGAAAGGGAAATAGATATATAGAGAGGAAAAAAGAGAAACAGAGGGAGAGAGAGAGAGAGAGAGAGAGAGAGAGAGAGAGAGAGAGAGAGAGAGAGAGAGAGAGAGAGAGAGAGAGAGAGAGAGAGAGAGAGAGAGAGAGGGGGACAGAGAGAAATAGAGATGGAAAGAGAGAGATAGAGAGGGAAAGAGAGAGATATAGAGGGGAAGAGAGATAGATAGAGAGAGAGAGAGAGAGAGAGAGAGAGAGAGAGAGAGAGAGAGAGAGAGAGAGAGAGAGAGAGAGAGAGAGAGAGAGAGAGAGAGAGGAGAGAGAGGTAAAGAGAGAAATAGAGAGGTAAAGGGAAAGATAGAGAGGGAAAAGGGAGATAGAAAGGGAGAGAGAGATAGAGAGAGAAAAAGAGTGATTGAGAGGGAAGGAGAGAGATGGAGAAGGAGAGAGAGAGAGAGGGAGAGAGAGAGAGAAGAGAGAGAGAGAGAGAGAGAGAGAGAGAGAGAAAGAGAGAGAGAGAGAAAGAGAGAGAGAGAGAAAGAGAGAGAGAGAGAGAGGAGAGAGAGAGAGAGAGGAGAGAGAGAGAGAGAGAGAGAGAGAGAGAGAGAGAGAGAGAGAGAGGGAGAGGGAGAAGTAAAATAGAGGAAGATAATGAGCAAATTATAGTGTACAGTAAACAAGAGAGTACTTACAATCTCATTAGCAAAACATACATAAAATAAACAAACATTACAATGAGGCCAATAATTAGAAGAAAAAAAATCAACGGCCTCTCGCCTATCAACCCCCCCCCCTACCCCCTATCTCCACTCCGCCCTTGCTCCCCCACCTCTCCCCCTCCCACCCCATCCCCATCCACCTGTCCTTCCCACTCCTCTCCCACCTCCCTATCCACTTCTTCCTCCACCTCTCCTCCTCCTCATCCCCTCCCATCTCTTCTCTTTTCCTTTTAACCCCCCCCCCCCCACCTTTCTTCCCTTCTCATCCTTTCCCACCTCTCTCCCCTCCCATTCCTCCCCCGCCTTTTCCCTCTTCCATTCCTCTTCCACCTCCCCCTTCCCATTTCTCCCCCCCCCCATCCCCTCCATCTATTTCTCCCTCCACCTTCACCCCCTTCAATTTATTCCCCCCCTCCCCCCCCTTCAATTTATCCCCCCCCTCCCCCCCCTTCCATTTCTCCCCCCACCTTTCCCCCCCTCCACATTTCTCCCCCACCTCTCCCTTCTCCACTTTACTCCTTCCCCCCCGCCCCCCCCCCCCATTCCCATGACTGCCACATTAACCTCATTCCCGAGGATTTACTCTCCCATCGGCGTTCCTCTGCCCGCGCTTGGTTGACCCGCCGCTGTCAAGGGAATTTCGGATTGTTTTCTTGTTTTTTGATTGTGTGTGTGTGTTTGTGCGCGTTTGTGTGTTCGTGTTTGTGTGTGTGTGTGTTTGTGTTCGTTTGTGTGTTCGTGTTTATGTGTGTGTGTGTTTGTGTTCGTTTGTGTGTTCGTGTTTATGTGTGTGTGTGTGTTTGTGTGCGTTTGTGTGTTCGTGGTTATGTGTGTGTGTGTGTTTGTGTGCGTTTGTGTGTTCGTGGTTATGTGTGTGTGTGTGTTTGTGTGCGTTTGTGTGTTCGTGTTTGTGTGTGTGTGTGTTTGTGCGCGTTTGTGTGTTCGTGTTTATGTGTGTGTGTGTGTGTTTTGTGTGCGTTTGTGTGTTCGTGTTTATGTGTGTGTGTGTTTGTGTGCGTTTGTGTGTTCGTGTTTATGTGTGTGTGTTTGTGTGCGTGTGTGTGTTCGTGTTTATGTGTGTGTGTGTTTGTGTGCGTTTGTGTGTTTATGTTTATGTGTGTGTGTGTGTTTGTGTGCGTTTGTGTGTTCGTGTTTATGTGTGTGTGTGTGTTTGTGTGCGTTTGTGTGTTCGTGTTTATGTGTGTGTGTGTGTGTGTGTTTATGTGCGTTTGTGTGTTCGTGTTTATGTGTGTGTGTGTGTTTGTATGCGTTTGTGTGTTCGTGGTTATGTGTGTGTGTGTTTGTGTGCGTTTGTGTGTTCGTGTTTATGTGTGTGTGTGTTTGTGCGCGTTTGTGTGTTCGTGTTTATGTGTGTGTGTGTTTGTGTGCGTTTGTGTGTTCGTGTTTATGTGTGTGTGTGTTTGTGTGCGTTTGTGTGTTCGTGTTTATGTGTGTGTGTGTTTGTGTGCGTTTGTGTGTTCTTGTTTATGTGTGTGTGTGTTTGTGTGCGTTTGTGTGTTCGTGTTTATGTGTGTGTGTGTTTGTGTGCGTTTGTGTGTTTGTGTTTGTATTTATGTGTGTGTGTGTGTGTTTGTGTGCGTTTGTGTGTTCGTGTTTATGTGTGTGTGTGTTTGTGTGCGTTTGTGTGTTCGTGTTTATGTGTGTGTGTGTGTGTTTATGTGCGTTTGTGTGTTCGTGTTTATGTGTGTGCGTGTGTGTGTTTATGTGCGTTTGTGTGTTTGTGTTTATGTGCGTTTGTGTGCTTGTGTTTATGTGCGTGTGTTTGTGTGTGTAGTGCGTTTGTGTGTTCGTGTTTATGTGTGTGTGTTTGTGTGCGTGTGTGTGTTCGTGTTTATGTGTGTGTGTGTTTGTGTGCGTTTGTGTGTTTATGTTTATGTGTGTGTGTGTGTTTGTGTGCGTTTGTGTGTTCGTGTTTATGTGTGTGTGTGTGTTTGTGTGCGTTTGTGTGTTCGTGTTTATGTGTGTGTGTGTGTGTGTGTTTATGTGCGTTTGTGTGTTCGTGTTTATGTGTGTGTGTGTGTTTGTATGCGTTTGTGTGTTCGTGGTTATGTGTGTGTGTGTTTGTGTGCGTTTGTGTGTTCGTGTTTATGTGTGTGTGTGTTTGTGCGCGTTTGTGTGTTCGTGTTTATGTGTGTGTGTGTTTGTGTGCGTTTGTGTGTTCGTGTTTATGTGTGTGTGTGTTTGTGTGCGTTTGTGTGTTCGTGTTTATGTGTGTGTGTGTTTGTGTGCGTTTGTGTGTTCTTGTTTATGTGTGTGTGTGTTTGTGTGCGTTTGTGTGTTCGTGTTTATGTGTGTGTGTGTTTGTGTGCGTTTGTGTGTTTGTGTTTGTATTTATGTGTGTGTGTGTGTGTTTGTGTGCGTTTGTGTGTTCGTGTTTATGTGTGTGTGTGTTTGTGTGCGTTTGTGTGTTCGTGTTTATGTGTGTGTGTGTGTGTGTTTATGTGCGTTTGTGTGTTCGTGTTTATGTGTGTGCGTGTGTGTGTTTATGTGCGTTTGTGTGTTTGTGTTTATGTGCGTTTGTGTGCTTGTGTTTATGTGCGTGTGTTTGTGTGTGTAGTGAGCTTGTGTGTGTGTTTGTTTTATGTTTGTGTTTGTGTTTATGTGTGTGTGTTTGTGTACGTGTGTGCGTGTTTGTGTTTGCGTATGTGTGTGTGTTTGTGATTGTGTTTATGTGTGTGTGCACTTTTTTTTCGTTTTTCTTTTAGATATGAGTTTATTCTACTGGTTTTCCTTTTTTGTTTCGGGTTTCGTTAAAAGTTAATTTTAGTATTGTCATTTGTGTTGGTCTTTTTGTCTTTCACTTTCTCTTGAGAGAGACAGAAGACAAGAGAAGAGAAGAAGAGAAGATAGTAAAGGAGAAGGAAAAGAAGTGGAAACTGGATAAGGTGAGAGTGAGAGAGTGAGCGAGTGAACGAGTGAACGAGTGAGTGAGAAAGAAAGAAGGAATAAAAAACACTCACAATAACCTTAATCCTCCTGCTCTTTTATTTCGCGTTGAATGTTGAAATGCAAGAATGTGCGAGCCGCCAGCCTTGCAACTTGCAAATGGCCACCGGAGTCAGAAAATAATGACTCTGCCAATAGGCAAACAAATGTTGCAAGAGAGAAACGAGTGAAGCGGGTTTGTATGTCTTTATCTCTGTCTGTCAGCGTGTTTGTGTGGGGGTGTGGGGGTAGGGGGTGGAAGAGGGGAGGGGGTGGAAGAGGGGAAGAGGGGTAGGGGGTGGAAGAGGGGAGGAGGATGGGGAAGGGAAGGGAGGAGGAGGATGGGGTAGGGAGGGGGGGGGATGGGGAAGGAAGGAGGGAGGGAGGAGGGAGGGGTTTGAAGAAGAAAGGGGGATGGAGGAGGAAAGGGGGGTGGGGGAGGAGACGGGTAGCCGGAAGGAGGGAGTGAAGGAAAGAGGGGGATGGCGGAGAGAAGGGGGAGGGAGTAGGGAGGAGTTGGAAGAGGGAAAGGAGGGGAGGGGGAGGGAGGACGAGACGGGTAGCTGGAAGAGGGGGGTGGAGGGTGGCGGGAAGGATGGAGGAGGGGGGGGAAGGAGAGGGAGGTGGGAAGGAGGGGTGGCGGAAAGGAGGGAGTGGAGGAGAGAGGGAGGGACGTAGAATAGGGTAGGAAGGGAGAATAAGGGAAGAAGAAGGAGAAGGGGAGATGGAGGAGAGTGGAAAAATTGAATTGGTGGGAAGGGGAATGAAGGAGAGGGAGAAACGGTGGAGAGGGAAGATAGGGGGGGGGGGAATGGTTAAGGGAAATTTGGAGTGTTGGGTAAAGAAGGGAACCGAAGGGAAGGGATGTGTAGGTGAGGGAGTGAGGGGGGGGGGCGGGGGTGAGTGGTGATGAGGGGCGTTTAGGCATATCAAAATACCGAAGACTTGTAGGCGGATAGAATGCGTGGGGAATAAGAGACTGTAACTGTATGGAGGAGTGAGAGATTGTAACTGTGTGGGAGGGTCAATAGAAGGAGGGGGGGGGGAATTCATTCACTATTGATTCATTCACGATTATTTACGTCACCGTGTGTCATTATGCATAATCACCAATTTACGTTGCAGCATTATCTACATTATGCCCCATTTCCTTATTAACCCTATATCGCCGAGCGTGACGAATTAGTTACGTTCGTTTCTAGTGAGTCCAGAGCTAAAGAAAATGGAGTGAGAGAGCTGTGAACGAGTGCAACGTTTCAGGCACGTTCTACTGCTCATATTTAAGGGATGGCAACACTTTTTCGCTTGTGGTATTTGGCAGCTGTATGGTCCTTCCTAGCAGAAATCAGCTGACTGTGCCACACCACACACTCCTCTCTGTTGTCATGTGCAAATGCAGTCTCACAGGTGAGTTAATTGCTTCATTATTTTATATCTTTTAGACAACACTACACTCATCACATAGGTGTGAAAAACGGATATGAAATTCATCATATACTTGTATTTTTTAGTGTCTGTTCATGTGTTACGATTTCGTTCACTTCGTCTGTTGAGTCAAAAAATGCTTGTTTGCTGACAGGTATGGATTCCTTTCGATTTTATGGAGTGAGGCGTGCTTTGGAGCGTGTTCTTCATGGCCAAAAGGAAAATGATGATGACAGTGATTTTGATGATAATACAGAGGAATGTCCAGACTATGGTAAGTATATTTTTTGTGTTTATGATATAATTCTTATATAACGCTCAATTGAGTGTTATATAAGCACTAATTTTTTTGTAATATGAGTAATAAGTTCTGATGTTGCATGAAGGTGATTTTACTTGTACTGAAATATATTTGTATGCATGAAACAAATTTATTATATTGTTTTAGGGAGTGATTACATGCCGGATGATGAAGAGCTGGAACGGGCACCGTTGATTGATGAACCTGATGACCCTCCTGAATCAAGACCAGGACCTTCACAGCAGAATCAAGGTCACAAGATGGCTTCCAGTAAAATAAAACGTAGTGAGCACCCACTATGGCGTCAAATTGAAGGCCAGAACACTAGCTTAGACACACCTGAATGGTTGGGTGAGATTGAGCCCTCTACCACAGTCAGGCGTCCCATTGAGTATTTCCAGGATTTTTTTCTTTCTGATATTTTGACCCACATTGTTGATCAGAGTAATCTCTATGCACAGCAGAAAAATGTTGGTAAAAGTTTAAATCTCACTGTCCCTGAACTAGAGCAATTTTTTGGGAACATTACTTGCCATGTCACTGGTGAAACTGTCATGCTCAAGATTATACTGGAAGGCTAAGCTCAATTGTCCCCTTGTTTCAGAAGTAATGACTAGAGATAGATGGGAAGAAATCAAAGCCAACCTCCACTTCAATGATAACAGTGACATGCTGCCAATTACTTGGCCCAAAGTATGATAAACTTTTCAAAGTGAGACCTCTGCTGGATCATCTTGTTACCAAGTTTCGTGAAATTCCCATGCCACAAAGAGTATGTGTAGATGAACAGATGGTTCCATTCAAGGGTGCATCTTCTTTGAAGCAGTATTTGCCCAGTAAACCACATAAGTATGGTTACAAAGTTCTGACACTCTGTGGTATTGATGGTATCATGTATGACTTCATGATATACAGTGGACCAATACAGCCTGTGGATGGTGAGCCTGACCTAGGTGCTAGCTCCAATGTAGTTTTGCATTTAGCCAAGCATATCCCTAAGGAAAAAAATCACTTGTTGTATTTTGACAACTGGTTCACCTCACTCCCACTAATGACTGTACTGGCTAAGAAACAGATCTACTGTTTGGGTACAGTGAGAATAATCGCCTTCAAGGCATATCCTTTGAAAATGACAAGGCTTTGGGAAAGAAAGGAAGGGGTACACAACCAGGAAAAGAAGGCTATGGTGGATGATGTTGAGGTTCGGGCTATGAAATGGATGGACAATAAAGGCGTCACTTTGCTGTCAACATTTGCATCAGCAGAGCCTGTGGGGGAGTGTAAGAGGTATGACAAAAAGGCTAAGGCTGTGGTCACGGTCCCATGTCCTGCAGTTGTGACAGAATATAATAAATTCATGGGTGGTGTGGATTTGATGGACTCACTCATATCACTTTACAGAATCCACACCAGGTCCAAGAAGTATTATCACAAGATATTTTTCATTTTCTGGATGTCACAGTTGTGAACTGTTGGTTACTATACCGCAGAGATTCTAGCGACCTAGACATTCCTGAACGAAAAGTAATGATGCTTCAGGAATTCAAATTGTTACTGGCAGAATCCCTGCTTCTTGAAGGGAAAAATCCCATGGCTAAGAAAAGAGGTCGTCCCTCCTCTAATGGAGGAAGTGCTGCACAGTTTGCAAAGAAAAAGAAAAGCTCCCCTGCCACTAAGCCCATTCCTGCAGAAGGAGTCAGGACAGATGGATATCACCATTATCCAATGGTGACAACAAGAGGAAGGTGCAAGAATCCAGACTGTAAAAGTGCCCCTGTGTTCTACTGTCAGAAGTGTAAGTACACTTGTGTATCACCAAAGATAAAAATTGCTTTGTTGAATTCCACACAAAGTAATGAACAAGCAAAAATGATATTTAGTTCATGGATATATTTTACTAAATGAATAAAAACATTCAATATTGTTTTCCACATGTGCCAAGGTTTTTTTTTTTTTTTTTTGTATAAGCAATTTCTTCTATTGTCATATTATGCATGGTTAATATACACCGTTGTCAGTTTTTGTTCGTAAAACCAATTTTACTTTTGTGTTTGAAAGCTATGTATGGATTATATATCAGTTATATATGTTATTATGCAGTACCATAGGTGAAACTGAATCAATTGTATACTACGCTGAATTAGCTACTTGATGTTGAAGTAGTGGTTTTCCAGAAATAAAAGAGTGTTCATGCATGTGTCCCTGTAATTAATTCAGTAATTGGTAACATTATAAATACAATTAATAATAATATTCCGGAAGAATGGAGGAGCTATTTAGTACATACACAGTAGGTAACAAAACTTACTCGTTGTGTCACGATGGACGACCGTGACAAATTTGTCACGATTGGCTGCCATCTTTAAAACCCAGTGTTTTTCCAAAATTAATGGATTTCTTAATATTTTACTACTCTAATAAAAAGGAAAATATGTTGAAATTTTTTTTCAACAGTCGGAACATAATTCAGGCTTTATAGGGTTAATTCACTTACGGTATTATTCATAGCGATATCGCTAATAATATTCACATGCTTATTAATTCATGCATACGTTATTCAATATTCATTATCAATTCTACAGCTCCTGTTAGTTATTCACAAAGAATAAAGCTTATTTCCAATTAATTCAGTGTTAAAACAATCTATCAATTTCAATATATTTTGTTTACACTACTAGTAAAGTTTACTCGCCACAAATACAATTCAGTCATTATTAATATAATTCATTCCTACATGCAGTTTTATTAACTGCTAATGCAACTAATCATTAGCAATACAATTTCCACACTAACAAAGTACTATATTCATTATAGGTACAGTTTATTCACACTAGAGATTATTAATTCAGTGCATTTTATTCACTATCAGTGCAATATATTCTCTGTCAATAGTTTATTTACTATCAGTACAATTAATCCTCTAGTAGTGTAGTTTATTTCGTGCTAAAACAGTTTATTTAGTATCAAAATATATTCACTCACCACAGTTAGTATCAATACAGATTATTCAGTTTCAATCCGTTTTATTCACTAGAAATGTATTTTATTCACCATCAACAGATAGTATTCACTATAGTTTTTATTCACTAGAAACATATTCATTTAAACCATTACTCACGCCATTATATACTACAATACCTCATATCCTTGGCCATTCATTCACCATTTCATGCACTATACGTCATTCATAAGAGCTGATCCCTTTCTGGACTATATGGTATTCACTTTATAGATTTCCAAAAAAAAAAATATTTGCTGTTGGTGAGTTTACCCCTTTCTGCACTATAAGTTATTCATTTAATAAACTTCTGTGTGTGTCATTTATCCTCCCCCCTTCTGCATTATAAGTTATTCATTTAATAAACCTCTGAGAGTATTATTTACCCCCCCCCCTTTCTGCACTATAAGTTATTCATTTATTAAACTTCTGTGTGTGTCATTTATCCCCCCCTCCTTCTGCACTATAAATTATTAATTTAATAAACTTCTGTGATTATCATTAACCCCCTTTTATGCATTATACGTTATTCACTATATATATTTCCGGATGTCATTTATCCTGTTGCTGTTGACGAGTTTCCCGGGCGGCGCTGGGCAGACGGAGGCGATCGAGGATGCTATTTTTATCTCGACGGATGCTTCTATGATGCTTCGGTGGGAGGGGGGGGGATTAAAGGAGGAGGGGTGTGGAGGAGAGGGGAGGAGAGGGAGAAGAAGAGGGAAGGGGGAGGGAGAGGGTGAAGGAGAGGGAGATGAAAGAAGAGGGAGATGAAAGGAGACGGAGAGGGAGAAAGTGAGGGAGAGGAAGATGAAAGGAGAGAGAGGGAGGGAGAGGGAGATGAAAGAAAATATATTGAGATATATTGAAAGAAAAGGGGGGTAAAAGGGAAAGGGAAGAGAGAGGGAAGGGAGAAGTGAAGGAGAGTCAGGGAGATGGAATGAGAGGGATAGGGAAAGTAAAGTAAAGAGGGAGAGGAGGATAGAGGGAATGAAATGGGAGAGGAAGAGAGGTAAGGGAAGGGAGATAAAGGGAGAGGGAGAGAGAAAGGAGGAAGAGGGAGAGAAGAGATACTGGAGATGGAAAGAAAGAATAGGGAAAGAGAGTGGAGAAGGAAAGGGAGAAGACGAAAGAGATGAAGAGACCAAAATGGAGAGAGTGAGAGAGAGAGAGAGAGAGAGAGAGAGAGAGAGAGAGAGAGAGAGAGAGAGAGAGAGAGGAGAGAGAGAGAGAGAGAGAGACAGAGACAGACAGACAGACAGACAGACAGAGAAAGAGGTTCAGATAAAAAATCTATCACACCTCCAACCACCTTCAAACAAACAAACAAAAACGCATTTTTCCTGTCACACTTCTTCCGCCGTTCATCTGTTCAAATAACCCGGGAATTCGTTCATACATTCACGTGCCTGCCTTTGCCCAGTTACACGAACGAAGTCTTGCTGGTCGTTATTATTGGCATGAGGGAAATTTGGCACATGAGCAGTGCCTCGAGGAGGAGGAAGGTTGGAGGAGGAGGTGGTGGAGGAGGAGGTGGAGGTGGGGAGGAGGTGGGGGGGGAGGAGGAGGATGAGGTGAGGAGGAGGTGGTGTGGTGGAGGTGTGAGGAGGATGGTGGTGGTGGTGGAGGAGGGTGGAGGATGGTGGGGGTGGTGGTGGAGGAGGAGGTGTGGGGGGTGGTGTGGTGGTGGATGGTGGAGGGGGAAGGGGTAGTGGAGGTGGAGGTTATTGGAGGGGTGGTGCGAGGAGGTGGTTGGGGATAGGGGTTGGGGGGTGGTGGAGGTGGATGGTGGTGGGGGGTAGGGGGTGGTGGAGGAGTAGGTGAAATTGAAGTAAGGGGGGGAAGGTGGCGTAGATGAGGAGGTGTTGGTAGGGGAAAGGATGAAGAGTGTGGTGTAAGTGTAGCTGGTAGGTGGAAGTGGTAGTTGTTGCGGTTGGGTTGTTGGTGGTGGAGGAATGGTGTAATAGAAGGAGTGGGATGAGGAAGAAGTAAAGGATGGGGAAGCTGAAGGGGTTGTTAGAGGGAAGTAGATGAAGTATTAGATATGTGTGGTGGAAGGTAGGAAGTGTAAGCGGGCAGGGGAGAGTAGGTATGAGGAAGAAAAAGTGTGTTTTAGTTGTGAAGAGGGAGTATGCGTGATGCAGGAGGGGAGTGCTCCCCGGGAGGATAGCGGGGAGTGGGGGGGGCCTCAGGGGCTTTATGTTGCGGTGACTGCGTTGTTGGTGAGGTGGTGGGCTTGGTGTGAGGGGTAGTGAAAGGCAACGGTGTGGGGATGATGGCGCGAGGAGAGAGAGCAGAGAGAGCGAGAGGAGGGGCGCTCGCGAGGAGAGCGAGGAGAGAGAGAGGACGAGAGAGAGCGAGAGAGAGAGAGCGAGAGCGAGAGGGCGCGAGAGCGCAGGCGCGGGCGACTAGAGAGAGAGGGAAGAGAGAGAGGGAGGGCGCGGGGAGCGAGAGAGAGAGAGAGAGAGAGAGAGAGAGAGCGAGAGCGAGAGAGAGAGAGAGAACGCGAGAGAGAGAAGACAGCGAGAGAGAGAGGAGAGAGAGAAAGAAGAGAAACCTGTAGTTCACGAAAGCGAAAACCCAAAAAGCAGAGCGAGAGGGAGAGCAAAGAGGTGAGAGAGACAGGAGCGAGAGAGAGAGAGCAGCGAGGGAGCGCTCGAGCGAGAAGACGTAGAGAGAGAGCAGCGCGCGAGCGCGCGGGCGCGAGCGGAGAGAACAAGAGCCGCGCCACAGCGCAGAGCAGCGGGCGAGCGACGGGAGATCGAGCGTAGAGCGCGCGCCGAACGACGGCACGCGAGCCCCCGCGCCGCTCGACATCCCCACCCTGCTCCCTCTATTCTCTCTCTCTCTCTCTCTCTCTCTCTCTCTCTCTCTCTCTCTCTCTCTCTCTCTCTCTCTCTCTCTCTCTCTCTCCTCTCTCTCTCTCTCTCTCTCTCTCTCTCTCTCTCTCTCTCTCTCTCTCTCTCCTCTCTCTCTCTCTCTCTCTCTCTCTCTCTCTCTCTCTCTCTCTTCTCTCTCTCTCTCTCTCTCTCTCTCTCTCTCTCTCTCTCTCTCCCTCTCTCTCTCTCTCTTTCTCTCTTTCTCTCTCTCTCTCTCTTCTCTCTCTCTCTCTCTCTCTCTCTCTCTCTCTCTCTCTCTCTCTCTCTCTCTCTCTCTCTCTCTCTCTCTCTCTCTCCTCTCTCTCTCTCTCTCTCTCTCTCTCTCTCTCTCTCTCCCTCTCTCCCTCTCTCTCTCTCTCTCTCTCTCTCTCTCTCTCTCTCTCTCTCTCTCTCTCTCTCTCTCTCTCTCTCTCTCTCTCTCCTCTCCTCTCTCTCTCTCTCTCTCTCTCTCTCTCTCTCTCTCTCTCTCTCTCTCTCTCTCTCTCTCTCTCTCTCTCTCTCTCTTTTATTTGATGCAGTGTTTATTATCTTTGTTTTTCCTTCTTGTTTTCCTCTATAAGTTCCCTCTTTGACAAAGAAAGAGAGAAAAAAATAAAAAAATAGAAGGAAAAGAAAGACTTATGAGGAAAGGAGAAAAATGAGAAAGTCGGAAAAAAACATTAAAAAAAGAGAGAGAAAAATGGAACGAGGAAGATTACGAAAAATACAGACAGAAGGACGGATAAAAACCCCAAGCTTCATCAGCATATGTTGGCGAGAGCATCTTTCCCGCCAATCTTTGCGTTTCCTCGAAGATGCAAACCCGATGCCTGCGTCGTGTGCTTGAGGTATATGCTATTAAGGGT